TTAATGAAGAGTTTTCTTAAGAAGGTAGTGGTCATATATCATTTTCTAAGTGGAGAAACTTTTGCTAAAGTGGATTGCCACATGACACTCTAAGAGTAAAGAGTTTTTAGGGCTTTGGTCTATTTTGGAGATACCTTCCTCTATTATTAGAGGTATCTTCCTCCCTTGTTAAAACACTAGATAAATCATAATGTTATGATGCCAAAACTATTGTGCATCCATATCTTGTCTCAAGTCAAGGCTAAGTATCCCATGAGGTTCCTCTAGCCATCCTTCTCTAGAGTTGGCTCAACCTCTCAAGAGACCTATCCATCTCACATCAAATACTCACCAAATTTGTGATGAACACCTCCAAAACCATAAGGTTCACCATCATATCCATAGCTTCTGCACCACTTCTACCTCTATAGCTTCATTTTCTTGCTTTGGCCTAACTTGGCTTGAAGAGAATGCTAATAGTATGGTAGGAACATAAGCCCCAATCAAGGTCCAAGAGGAATGATTGGTCATCCATAATGGAGGGCTTAAGGGATTGATGATTCGTTTGAGAACCTCATTATCAGCCCATGGTGGGCCTAATGTATCGATCTCAAGTTCATCAAGTGACATCGTTAGAGTCAATCACCATACATCTAAGTCACTTTAGAGTGTGAAACTCTATCACGATTTTATCCTTAAAAAGCGCTTCAATCCCAGGGTAGACACCAAATGATCTTACTAAGATCTTGAGCATGGATTTGCGAACAAGTGATAAGATCCTAGTATCCTTAACAAGCGCACAAAATCATTCAAGTAATATAGATTGTAAGTCTAAGTATCATTTCCCAAGAGATTTTGTGTTTGTTGAGATCATTATGATTACTTACTAGTTTAGGCAATGAATTTAAACAATTATTGATTCAAATAAGTTCTAAACATATAAAGTTACTGAATATAAAGGTTATAAAATGATACGGGTAAAGACTCATCAGGGTTGGACTTTTTTACCCAAACTCTATGCACTCATCGACACAATATATCTCTAACATATTCAAACATTCACCAACAATTGTTTTCTCGCTAGGTCATAATATCCTCTCGCTGGTTGAGAGGTAGTTTTTCTAACATGTTGACTTGTTCAACTCACTAGGCTTCTTAGTTGGGCTAGTGTTGTCAAGATCTCGCTAGGCGAATGTTGATGACTCGCTGGGAGAGTTGCTTCTAGCAACATCTCTTTAATCTTCTCCAATCCTCCATTTTCCTATAGGTAATGATTTTTATATGTGAAAACTATATACAAGTCTGGCATCTTTTAATGGAATTCTACATGAAATAAATGACAAAAAAACAAATAAGGGGTTCTGATAGGTGCGACTTAAGTCATTATCACACTTATCACCTAATAGTGGCTACAAGCTTTTGTTAGTCATAATGGACTTCCTTGCTTCTCAGAAGGGAGAGATCAACTTGTAAAAGACTCTCCGATACTGAAGTCAGTAAGAGAATTTAGGATTTATAAGTATTAGTATGAATAATCATTCTTTATTTAATTTAAACTTTATTCTCTATCTTAAATAAATTAAACATTACATTCTTACTAACAAGCTTTTTTTTTCTCAAAAATCACTAAGAAATATATGGATAAATTTATCATATTTTTTCCTTTAATTCCCAATTTGAGTCGCTAGACTTCAATTCTCATACCACCTTAACCATAGTGATATCTTTATCAAAGTATTGCTTAATGTGATTATTTTTGTTTCTAATTTATTTAGCTTTGAAAGATAGATATTTCCTAACTTGAACATTATCAAGTTCCAATACATGTTCAAAATCAAGTGTATACTTTATCAACTAATAATGGAAGACACTGTATATTAGTTAAAGGAATGTTTCAAAGTGCATAAATTATCACATGAGAAAGTCACAACCTTTCTCTCAACAATTCTTACGGAATCAAATTCTTTAATTGTGTCTCAGCCTAATTGGCTTATATTATGGGATAATTTATGTACTTACCACAATCTGTTTTGGAACAATTATCTTATTAGGAATATAATTTATGGTCTTAATTCTAATACTAATTTTTTAATCGAGCGCTTACTAATATACTATAAATTATAACTTTTAAAGATGTTGTTTTATATTGAACATGAAAACAAATCAATATGTCGTATATGAATCACACCACAAAATAATATAAAAATGGACAAAAGATTTTATTCATATAATCTATGAAAATAGATGAAACATTCTTCACTCGAAAAGAAATAATTACGTATTCATATATCATACACATATCTAAAAGGTTTTTATGTACATCTTCAAATTTAACAAGAGAAAAATCCACATATATTTTTAGATATTTCTTTGTAATTTTCATTACAATTGTTTTAATTAAATGGATTGAATTATTATAAGTATTTACGAATTAAAAGTATAAGAAAAGATTATCATTCATATTCTCATGGTAGGGAATATTAAAGGGTGTTAAGTGATATTGAAGACAATAATATTGAGAGTTAATTGCTAAAGGACAAAAATATTGGTGGGAATGTAAAGTTACTGATGAGAGTTAATTGTTAATATATATTAAATACTATTTATATGTAATTAATATCGAATTTAGTGGATAGTATGGTTGGATGTGGAAATTGACACATTATTTAGTCTATAAAAAATGTACTTGGAATGTAAAATAAGTTTTCTCTTTACGAGACTTTTATGCAGTTTTCTAACAAATCTTCAACTTGATTCCTTAACTCTAGTTGACTGTAGCACTCTACAAGAAGAAATGCACAGAGAGCAATATTATTTTGATTATTCTTAATAAAATTATTATCTAACTTTTGAATATGTTACTTAATCAAATCTAGATTAGAAATGAATAAGTTGCTTGAATCTCCTGCTCATATAATTTCAAGTCATTCAAACATTATAAGTAACGACAGAGTTTATTTCTTGAACAATAGGATTGGTAGAAGAAAAAAAAATGAACAAGAAACAGAATAATAAGTAATGGAAGAAAAACCTTTATAAATGTAATTCCACAACCTTTTAAGATAAATATAATTAGAAAAGTGATCTAAATTTTCTTATTGTTATACTATAATTTATATATTGGATTAAATATATTTTTTATTCTTAACATTTAATAAAAGTTAGAATTAATTTTTTTAATTTTGGTTCAATTTAATTTTTTAACTTTAAAAATATATAAATTTAATTTTTTGAACCAAATTTTGTTAAATTTAAATAAATTAATTCAAAATTTTGGAAAAGAAACTAATTTTAATTTTTACTAAAAGGTAAAACACAAAAAAAACATATTTAACCTTTATATATTTAATATCATTGATTTTTTATAAATTTTAATTACATAAAACCTATGACGTTTAAAATACATTATTTTTAAAATTTTTTTATTAAGTAAAATAAAATAAATAATATATTTAAAATTATTGAATTTTATAAATTTTAATTACATAAGACCTACAACGCTTAAAATACGTTATTAACTAAAATAAAAGTAACAAATAGTAATAATGTGATAAAATATTAGTTTGGGGCTAGGAATAGTTATGTAATTTTTTTGCATTATCAGTGTCAACGTAATCATTTTTATGAATTGAAAAAAATGAAAAAAAATCCAGAGAATTCTTTTTTTATCGTCTACGTTGTGGATACCATTTATTATGAAGAGACCATCTTTCATTCGTTTGTTGTAAATTATTTCACTACAGTCACTGTAAAATTAGAATTTACATTTTTTTCCCTAAAGTTGATCACTGCAGTTCGATGTTTGATTTTTGTTAAAAGTGTGTAAAAATTTTATTTCAAGCAAAACTATTTCCAAAAAGATATACGGGACATAATAAATAAATAAATAAATAAATAATAAAAGAAGCGCACTGAGATATCGTATTATAGTCGATCTTAATTATTTTAGTACTCTAGCACTTTCCATGAATCATGGCATTGGCAAATAGGGCCCATACAGTAGAAAATGAAAATACCAAATAGGTCCCATACAGTGCATATAATATAATTTTGCTTTACATGTGTTTAAAAGAAAGTTAAAGTATTGGTTTTCCATTCCTTTATATAAAGGTTAAACATTTGGAAGAATATAATATTAAAATATTGGACTAAGTAGTCCAGTATCTTCATTTTCTTTTTATTCTTTACTTTTTTAACTCTTGTTAATTTATCTACCTTATTGTTTCTCCACTACTATGTTTTGTCTTTCTGGTAAGGTAAACCTACGTATGATAAACACTGTTTCAGATAATGATGAATATCTCAAAAAACTACTAAAATACTAAGAATTAAATTTTAAATTTGATTTTACTTGAAAAAAATAATCAACAAATATTATTAAAATATATTATAATTATAACGATAATATTATATTAAATTATATCGTATCACCAATCAGTTTCTCGTTGATCAAAGGATTAATGTTTTTGAAGGAATGTTGGAAGATCATTAGTAATATTAGGTTTTCGATAGACTGAACGGCTTTTCAAATATGTTGATCGATGATTCTAATATTAAACATCAGTATTACAAATTCAACATATTTACCGATAAAATATATTAATTGAGTTTTAGATCCTTTGAATTATGATTAAATCAGTTTTAAATAAAAATTCATTTCAAAATTTATAAATATAAAAATAAAATAAAGAATTAGATGGTTAAAGATTTGACACAAATACATACATTGAAAGAATATTAACTATGATTCTCAACCCTATATCCAAAACATAAATAATAAATTTTAAATCGAATATAAGAAAACGAAAATGAGGTTTTTATAAATTAAAACAAGTTCGTACTGATTGATGAACATGTTTCTTGGAAACATATAGGACCACTAAAGATACCGTAAAATAATGTGGGAAGAAGGAATGAAGATGTGGACAGTTGGACACTGTTGTCTTTCTCATGTGAATGGATGCAAAACTGTGTTTACAAGCAGTCTTAATAAAATGGAGTGGGTCCATGGGTCCATCCTTGGATTATATAAGTTCTGATTCATGATTGGAGATGTCAGAACACATGATACGCGTTTGTTTCAACTCCACTGTATCAAAAACAGAGGAACCCAATTCTCTTTTGCTTTCACCTCATTTCTCTACCTTAACTTGGCTCTCAGAAACAAACATATTCCAACACCACCATGGTAAGAGCTCCCTATTTTGATAAAAATGGAACAAAGAAAGGAGCATGGTGTGAAGAAGAGGACAAGAAGCTTATTGCCTATGTTCAGAATCATGGCCACCCCAATTGGCGTCAACTTCCAAAGTTTGCAGGTTTTACATCACTCTCATCAATCATCAGATCCATTTAGAGTTTCTTCATTCATCCTTTTTACTTTTCTGTCTAACAGGGTTGCAAAGATGTGGAAAAAGTTGCAGACTTCGATGGATGAATTACCTCAGGCCAAATCTAAAACGAGGGAACTACACCCCCAAGGAAGAGCAAATCATCACTGATTTGCATAAAAAGCATGGAAATAAGTACGCCTTTTGTTGCTTCTAATTAATTTTCAAAGTTTTAAGTTTTTAATTCATACTCACAATGTTTGTCATCGACTTTTACATTGCTGAAAATGTCGCCCACAAATATTCTGGATACTGTCGCAGCTACGGTTGTAATGAGTCAGAAAATCTTGATTTTAAAGTCCAAACCAGTTTTTAAAAGGATAAAGTTTATGTATCATAATGTTAATTAAAGTTTGACTTATGTAACAAAACGACAAATCTAATTTCAATTGAACGACAATGCTAACAAAAACGTCTGTGACAGTGTACAAAGGATTTGTATTTTTCAAAACCATGTTACTTACTTGCTTAATAATTCAATTTGGTCATGTCGTTTTGTTGATTTGATGAATAGTTTCCACTACAAGTATAGGCATCAAATATATGCACCAGTTCTAGTTTTGGTGTTACTGTTATGTATAAAAAGATAAACAACTATTCAACATCTTCAGTTGTTTGACAATTGTTCATTACAATGAGAATTCAGTGAACAAAGGGTATTTTACTGATTTGTATTTGGTGTGAAATTTGTGTGATAGATGGTCTCTGATTGCTGAAAGTTTACCCGGAAGAACAGACAATGAGATAAAGAACTATTGGCACAGCCACCTAAAGAAGTTCCAAAACAGCAACAATAACAGCTCTTGTGATGAAGATTTGAAGTCCAACGGATGCAAAGAGTTTGAAATGGAAATGAACGAGGGTCATAGTGTTGAATCTCACCACATTTTGGAAAGTTCAGTGTCAATTACCTCAGAAACTTCCTACACCGACCACAATTCCCCTTGTCTTTCATTTTGTTCAAGTCACACAGAATCAACCATGAACTTGTGCAAGGAAGAAGAAAGTGTTGCTTCATGGGAAACATTGGATTTAGGGTTTAGTAGCAATTTCTGGACCGAACCCTTTATTTCAGAAAACGCACTTGATGAAGACTATTTTCACATTTCCTCTTATGGGACAGAACCATTTTACTTATGGTAGTTGTGAGTCTAGAATATGCTTGAAATTATTGAAGTGGTCTTGCACATTTGCTCGTATGTTCTTGATTTTGGAGGAAATTTTGGAAATAAGAGTTGACTCTTGTTTTCCTAATTTCCTTAAGGGGAAAAAAGAAAAGAGATTTGTGTGTCAGCAACTTGGGTTTTGTTTTTGAGAACGACAATCACTCATGTTCATGAGAGAATCGAAATTGTATACTATAAAAGTACAAAAATCAATAACATATAATTTTGACATACTGTGAATTTTACAATATTAGCTAATTAAAAGTTGTTTTAAAAGTAATTAGTATAAAATTAACAATGGTGATATAAGATTATATGTTTCAGTTTAAGGATCGATGTTAAGTTTTCTCTTCATAACAATATTCAAATTTCAAGTTTAAATTAAGATTATTCCTTCAATTCATATTTGTTACGGTTCTGTCGAACTAGAAAGTTACATGTACACGACACTGTAATGCTAAAGTTAGTAAGCGTCTGACAGTATTAGCAATAAATGTAACTAATTTATCATAATACCATAAATGTACAATGAATGCAACCAATTTACCATAATACCATAAACTTGTATTTTTTTGATATAGACTTTTGAGTAGCGCTGACCTGACTATGGTTTAATTGATAATAGTTTGTCTTAGGCTTAACATAACCATCTTTAACATTAATTCCACATTTAATTTGATTGCTTGAGTTTCTAACCGATTCCCATGATGTCGTAAATCATACTATACATTATATATATTTTAATTAGATTCTATGTAAAAATAAAGAGTCTAGGTATTCACTATCCTAATATATATATATATATATATATATATATATATATATATATATATATATAATGATTCAAATTATATGTATTGCTGTGACTTTTAAATAATTATTATGAAGAAAACAAATTTACATTCTCGTCATTCTATCAAACAATAAATGTGTATATTATGTTTGGAACAAAATATTATATAACGGAAATTTTAAATTTCTATATTTTAAAAAAATATCGAATTCTGTCCCATAAATTTTTAAAATTTTAATTCTTTTAAACTTAACTATCCATGTTATACAGTTAAAATTTGTTAGAAAAGTTATTATTTTCTAACAATCTTCATCCAAATACAATATCAAGGTTGTTGGTATATTGATTAAGAAGCATTTAAGATGTTGAATCAAATAACAAATAGGAAAGTGATGATGATTTAGTAAAGAAGTTGCTTGTGTGAAGCTTTGAAAGTTTTATCAACTTACTTTAAAAGGTTTTGGATATTGGAATTGTTTTTCTTGCAAGACAAGGTATAATTAAATAGGAGTTTTTCTTTTCCAATTTGTTTGGTTAAAAATGCATTAAGATATTAAGGAATGTTGTGAATGAGATTCGGTATTCCCTTTGAGATGAAAATTTAGATTTATTAAGGATAGAACCCTATGCATGCTTATGTGATTTGAAATTGGGAGATTGAATTAGTCTTGAGCTTATCCATATGAAATTGGAAGGAAGAGTAAATTCTGTACAGTTTATAAACGTTTTCCTAGTAAAATAATGCAGAATAAAGAAAAATCCAGAATAACAATTCACCAAGATTTTCAAAACACAAGTCTAGACAAGCACAAATACTGTTCCGCCTGCGGTCAAAAGTAAACGACAATCGACAACGGAAAATAAAATTATCTTTATTCTAAAATTCTTATATTTATAATTTCTTTATATGTTACTTCTATTAACTACGTAAAGAATTTTACTACTAGGTAAATTACCCATGTACCCATATCTAGAACTTTGACAGCTGTCCTGTTTTGTGGTATTTTTATCATTTTCAATTTGATTTTCTATTAATATCTCATTGTTACAGCTGCATGTTTGGTCTTTTTTCTTTTGGATTTATATTTTCTTTCGAAAAATGTTTTTGGGCTAATAGTTCGTGATTCGTCTGTTTTAAATATACAGACTAATAAATTAATAGTTATTTTTTAATTTAAGTTTTCTTTTGTTAATTTACCGTGGTCTCCTTCGATTTAAAGATTAAGTTTTTTATATTTGTCATTATTGTTAACTATGGTAGTATTTTTTCGGTGGCATGTTTTGCCATTTAAGTTTTCTATTGTTAATTTACCGTGGTGCCCTTCTTTTTTTTAAAACGTAAAGCAAAATGTCAAATTATGGTAGTTCTTTTTTCGGTTTAAATTATTTGTCATTCTTGTTAATTATTGGAAGGTTTTCAAATGATTTTTTTAATTATCTTCTACTTAGGTCCTTAAACTTTATTATTTGATTTTCAATCAATTTAATTTATTTAACTAGTATTACATGAAACTTATTATTTACATCCATTTTGTGTATGTTTGGTAAAAAAACTTGTAAAATACAGATTTTAGAGTCAATAAAAGTGAAAAGGTTGACCAAAAGATAATTGAATACTCGTGTAAAAATATCATTATATATCATCATATCAAGTTGTTATAGAAAGATATACAATGATATTTATGTGAATAAAATATGTATATTATATTAATTACTAGTTTAACTAGTGTAATATTAACATACATTAGAAAATTTGATGTAACATATATTGATTAGATTAGTAAGACAAGTGTCTATTGCTATTTGATCCGTAATATAAAAAATTATTTGTTATTTATTTAAAAAATATTTGTTTATATTTTAAAATTTAAATATTTTATAAATTTATTTTATAAATTTTTAAAATCAAATATAAATAAAATTACAAAAAATAAAAATTTAAATTTAAATACAAATATTAATTAAATATATCTTAATAAAATATAAATTAATTTTAATTAAGTGAAATTAAATTAAATATAAATTAAATTTTAATTTTAATATGTTGCAAGTAATAGATATTTGTTATAGATAATATGATGCTCACACTCAACTTATTCATAAACAACTATTAAAATATCTATTATCCACCAACCATAAATAATAAAGATTCAGAGATAATTTTTTCATTCCTATTAGTAACCAATCTCTTTGGAGTATCATACTATATTGATATAGTATTTATATAATATTTTAGTTCTTGATTTATTTACTTTTTTATCTTTCAAGTTTTATTAAGGTCTCCTTTCGATTTTCTTATTACTTATTATGAACTTGAAAATATCTACACAAATATTTAAGAAAATAATATAAGAATAGAAATTATAAGCATGTAAGTTACGAAATTGTTGTAATTTTTAACAAAATTTACAGATATAGACAAATTTTAAAAACTTACAAAAGTAGATAAATTATGTTTAATAAACCTGACTTTAAAATAAAGTAGTCGTATTTACACATGACTTTAGAAATCATGTTTTAGATATACAACTATTACTAACAACTTCACGTTTTTACACAGTTATGTCCATTACATTCTATTTTGTTTCACGATTTTCACGTTTTTGTATTTTTTTTCTTTTTATTTTATTTCATAGAAGTTATGAAGTTATTACAAAACTTCTTCATTTTTTTTCAAACTTGGCTTCTTCTTTGTTTCTAATTCTTCTATGTTATTTTTAAATTTTTATATTAATTTGATTTATAATTTTTTATTTTTAATGATTTTTCAATTTTTATATATTCATTTTTTTAATTTAAATTATTATATTTTGAAATAATTTGACTTATAAATTTTTTAAATCTTTTAAACTTGTGTAAAATTTTTATTTTAATATAAATTTTTAATAATTTGATTAATAAATTAAAATTAAAAATTTATAAATGTTTTTTACTTTTTACTTTTTCAAGTTTTTAAACTTTTCTATACAAATATTTTTATTTTTATTTTGTTAAGTAATATGATTTTTAAATGTTATGTAATTCTTATTTAAAAACTTTGTTAATCAAATTATTGAAATAATTTATTTGTAAGACCCATGAAAAATATTTACCTTAAAAAGTAACAATTTTATTACTAATAGTAATAAATTTCTTTGTGAATGGAAAATATAATAAGTTTATGTAAAAATAAAATGTGTAAAGCTAATTAAGAAATTTTGGTAGCTTAATTGGTAGAATATTGTTGTGATTTCAAGAACATGAGTTCAAATTCTTTTCTACCTTTTTGTTTAAAATAATAATAATAAAAAAAATTAAAATATTGATAGTGGATAAAGCACTCCATGTTTTAAGACATTATTGAGGAATCAATTATGTAAGTGGTGATTAAGATATTAATATAATAAAATAATATTAAAAAATTATTGAATAGTAAAATTTTTGGACTATAAACAACCATGAGAGTAGGGATGGCAACGGATCGGGTCGGGCACGGATAGTGCCTACCCGCAACCCGACCCGACAAAAAAAAATCTACCCGCTACCCGACCCGCTACCCGCACGTATATCCGCTTAAAAAATATCCGCGGATATTTTAAAACCCGCGGATATCCGTGGATACCCGTGTATATCCCATAAATATTTAAAAAAATATATTTTTATAAAATATTATAATAAAATTTAAATAAAATTACAAAAAATATATAAAATATAATATATATTAAATTAAATATAAATTAAAATTTAATTTTAATTATATTTAACTTTATAAAATATAAATTAATGTTAATTTTAATTAAATTTAACTTAATAAAATATAAATTAAATTTTTATTTTTATTTTTTGCGTGTAGCGGATATCCGTGGATACGGATAGTATAATACCCGTACCCGACCCGTTTATAAGCGGGTATTTAAAAACCCGCTACCCGCAACCCGCGGATAGTAAATATCCGCGGGTACCAACTATCTGTCGCGGATTTTATCCGCGGATATCCGCGGGCGCGGATTTTTTTGCCATCCCTACATGAGAGGGGAGGCTATTTTGCTCAAAGAGAGGAAGAATCAAGTGAGAGCTTGAGAAATAGAGAAGAAAGAGTTAGGAAGAAATTTTTAGTTGCAAGAAGAGTAGAAGTTCTAAAGGGTTTTCGGGAAAACAAATTTTGAGCAAGAGAAGTCTGGAATAGAGGTAGGGGAGCTTACCTTTCCAAGCTTTTATATTATGATTTAGTATTGTTTTATTACTATTCATGTCTTGAAATTATGTGTGAATACGGTTAAACGAAAAATATAGGTGCTTGTTATATATCTATCTATATTGAATTTCTGTGTTAATGTTATATGTTGTTGTTTTGA